TGTCCCCGACTCCACACCCACGCCAGCATCTAGTCTCTCAGCAGCCACGGTTAGTCTTTTAAAACAACGCTCAGATCGCACCCCTCCTCTAAACCTCCTGATGGCTCTCCACGTCAGAAAGGAGGAAGGGCAAGGTTTTCCAGGGCCCTACATGTTCCCACACAAGCTGCTCCACCCCTCTGGGGGCTCCTGACCTCTCTCAGCGCTCTCGTCACTCCCTCTGCTCCAGCCACTCTGGCCTCGCTCTTCTTTGAACATATCAAGCTCAGTTCTGCCTAGAGGGTTTGCATTGGCGGTTCCCTCTGCCAGGAATGCTTTTCCCTAACATACCAACATGACTCCACCCATCCCCTCTGTTACATGGATGCTCAAGCATCACCTAATGGCCATTCTATTTAAAATCACAAATGAACACAAGGTCCAGTTTTCCTGCTTCTTTCATTCCGCTCTACTCAATTTCTATCCTCCTACTGAATTTTCTACCTTCTAACAGATCAAATAACTTATTTGTTATATTTATTGCCTCTCCTCTCTCCAATTGCAAAGTAAGCTCCAGGAGGGCAGGGAATCTTGTGTTTTATTTGCTGATTTACTGTTAGGGGGCAAATTAGTGTCTGACACATAGTAGGTGCTCAACTAATCATGTAGCAAATGCTGAGTGAATGAATACGTATATTGGTTTAGCAGTGCAGAGCTGATTGTCACAGCCCATCTCACTGCAGCCCTCAAATGATCACAACTCCTTCAGTTTCTCTGTTCCTTCCAGAGACTGAGACCAGGAGAAACCATGCATGAGTGTTTGGGTGTGTGGAGAAGATTCCTCATGACTTAGAACAGGCTGGAGTCAGAGGAAGCCTCAGCCCCTTGTTCTGTGTGATGTCATCATCTTAAAGGAAGAAAAAAGAAATCAGGCTCATAGCCATGCAGGCAGCACAGAGAAAAGTAAGTGAGAATTCCACCTGTCCCTGTGCGAGTTCTCCCATCACCATGCCCTTGTCCCTGGACGCTGGTGAGACCTTGAGGTGGAGAGATGTGACGTCTCAGGGGGACAGGAAGAATCACCTGGTCTCCAGTGAGTCCCTCCACCGCTTCAGGGTCTCCGGGAGCAGCATGGCTTCCACTTCCTCCATCTTGTCTCGATCGGGGAGGATGAAGAGTGCGCTGGCATTGCCTTCGTACCGCAGCTCCAGCACGGTGCAGGACAGCTCCTCGTCCCGGAGGTAAGGTGCGGCCAGGTCCTCCAAGCTCATCATGAGCACCTTCACCCACCTCCTCTTGCTAAAGTAGAACCTTGACTCAAAAGTATCACGGGGGTCAAAGGGAGTCTTCCACTTGGCTGAAGGTGGAGCAAGCATTTGAAGAATGTGTTAGTGCCAGGGTCATTCTGCCTCGACCCTGCTTCTCCAGCAGTGGAAGTGCCTAGGTCAACAGACACTGAGAAGCCCTCATAGGAGTGGCCCTGCCTTCATGTAGAGAAATAGCTTGGCAAATAAAAAATTTATTGGTGGTGAGGGAGAGCCCAGCAGGCTTAGACTCGGGAAAGGGCCATGAAAGAAAGAATTGGTTCTTTATGCTGAACGAGAAATCAATAGGAAGCTGGGAATAAGGAGTGCAAGAGAGAGAGAAGGTTTAGGGAAAGTGAGGGAAAGAGGCATGACAACACGTGGGAGGCTGTAGCCCGAGGAGAAATGGCTCAGCCTTGGTTCCTTAAGAGGAAAAACCTCCTGTGAGCAATTGAGAGTCTCTGGTATTACAGGGATGTGAACACGCAGCAATGGCTTGTGGGAGGGCTTTGGGTGGAAAGAGGAGGAAAGAGACCAGGTTCTGTATGTGAGGTGGTGAGGGCAGACAGAGGAGATGCCCATCAATGTGAGTGACGGGAGGAACAGGGAGACTTTAGTGGAAGACAGAACTCAGAGCCAGGAGAGACCATGGGAATAAAAGCCTAGAGGCACTTGTGACATCTTAGATGGTGGGAGTGTTGGAAAACAGAAAAGCCATGAGCTGCTCCTCAGCTCATATATAACTCATGTCCGCCTTTACAGACCATGAACATCCAGCTTAGACTTGCCCTGGATTCTGTGCCTGTCTGGGTGAGGATTCATTTGCCGGGGCTCTGACCCTGAGGCTGCCTCGGTTCTCAATGTTGCAAAGGTAAAATTCCACGAAACTGTCTCTGGCACCTCTAGCTATCACAAACATGCAATGGAGGCTGACTCTTAGCCAGACTGACGTAACTCCTCTCGCTAAAAGCCTATTTACCACAGTAAAGAGGAAGAGAAAATCTTGAAAGAGGTAGAATTAGGGACAGAGTGGAAAACTCCACCTTATGTAAAAAGGAATAAGGATAAACATGACAGCACACTTCTCATGAGAAACTATGCAGGCAAAGGAAGAATGGAGTACAATCTTTAAAATGTAGAAATTTCCATGAAACTCATTCTTTGGGAATCATGACATGGCCCATGATTTGCATCGTTTAGTTGGGTACAATTATTTTCCTCCTCTAAAACAGGGGTCAGGAAACAATGACCTGTCAGCCAATACAACCATAGCCTATTTCTACGTGTACCTAAAGCTAAGGATGGTGCTCCTATTTTTCAAAGGTTGTAAAAAAACGAAGAAGGAGAAGAAGGTGAAGAAGCAGAGGAGGAAAACAAAAAGATGAATCTGTAAAAGAGACCTCTTGTGGACCACACAGCCTAAAATACTTACTACTGGGTCCTTTATAGAAACAGTTTATCAATCCTTTTTCTGGGTTTTGGACTCCACGATCTTTCACCTCTGTTCTTGGTTTTGGGAGATGCTTGGTGAAAGCTCATAAAGTCATATGTTAACTTTAGGGGTTAACATGAGGAAGAAAAAGGGATTTTCAGATGGGCCCAGGTCAACGCTGAATGTTTAATTATTTGCTTTTCTGGACTTCATGTCTCCTAACTGACAAATGGCAACACCACCGTCCACCTTTCAGAGCTGCCGGGAAGATTAAACAAGGTATTGCATGTAAGTGGGTGGTTTGAGTTGGTGTTCAATAAATGGGAGCTTCTTTCCTTCCTTTCTTTCTTTGCTTTTTCTTTTGGTAATTGCAACAAGAGCCAGCTTCTGGGTGGCCCTACCTTCTCTCGTGCCATCGTTTTCCTTCTAGACTCTTCTCCACCTTTGAACTTTCTCTTTGGGCTTTCTAGGACCAAAATCACAGCCCATCTTTCCTTCCCCCTCCTGGCAGACCATCTCAGGTTCTCTGGTTCCTGCAGCCTCCCAACATGGAAAGACCCAGGACAAACCTAATTGTAAAGACGCCTCAGAGCCAGGACCCATCTCAGGGTAGGAGATGTTTCAGTTGAACAGGTGTCCCCGTCACCAACTGCAGCAGCAATTCAGGTGCTCCTGTGGCCTCCATGAGGCAGTGCCACGGATTACCTCCCCATATTATCCAGGGCACCAGGCTCCTTTGGGGCCTTTAGCTGGCCAGATCTCCAGCATGGGTTCCTGCTAGGAAGACCGACTGCCTCTGGGGACACCGACTGCTGCCTTGTTTGCCAGAATCAAGAGAGGGACAGGTCTGAGGGATGAAATCACCACCCAGGCTCTACAAGCCTTTAAATGTTGTCACGTCTGGCCCCACCTTCCCCCATTTCTGTCTGCCAGTTACCAAATTTTCCGATACTGCCTCTTACCATCTTCTGACATCCTCAGTTGTTCAACTGGGGGCCTGAATGTCTGGCTAGACTAGTGTCTTTAGGATCTGATCTATGTTTGACTCAACTTCTCTCTGCTGTAAGGGCCTTCCCTTCTAATTCTATCTGGATTTAAGAGAAATGAAGAAAACAGTTTTCTAGGGGAAACCTTCCTTTCTGAATTCCCATCTTCTGCCCCTGGCTGGATGCCCCCACCCCCTTACTTTCAGTCAAATACATAGTCCTAACATCATAGAGTGAGTCAAATCTTGCATGCTCGTGGGTCCAGTGGGTGCAATGCAACAGGAAGAGCAGAAAGGGAGGGAACAAGCACCCCAGGGTTCTGAGCTGGGACCCTCTCAGCCTGAAGCTCATGCATGCCCAGCACCCTCCATCTTCCGCAGGACGACCCCAGCAGTGACCAAGCCCCAGTACATACACTGTATGTAAACCAGGCTGAGGCAAGGAGCAAATGGGCACCTGGAGAGTGAGTAGAGTTCAACAGAGCAAGGGGCGGGGCCCTGCAGGTCTCCACTCCAGCAGGACCGGGGCACTGAACAGTGAGGGGAGTGGCAGCTTCAGGGGAGGCTGGAGACCTGGGGCCACCTCCACTGCCCACCTGTTTCCCACCTGCCTGTTTCCCATTGTTAGAGGCAGGTGGGGAGGGGAAAGCTGGGCTGGCTACTGCGTCCCTGGAGGGCAGAGAGTCCTAGCATAGGGCTACGAGGCAGGAGGAAAGAACACAGGAAACTCAAAGCACAAATGGCAGCTCAGGCACGGAGTATTCTTAGTGGGAGATCCGGATCCACATCTTCGTTTACAGATGAAGACCCCGGCCTGGGAGGGGAAGGGGCTTGCCCAGGACTCAACCAACAGCCTTCAGGCAGGACTCTGCCTCCAAGCAGCGCATGTCTCCTAAGCACCTTTCCGCCCTCTGACAGGTGGGCACTCTTTGTGTCCCTATGTTTTTTTCTCCCCATCTGGATTCCAGGCTCCAGGAGGCAGAAGCTACCTGCTTGCACTCTGCCCCTTGGGAGCTTGCAGGCTGAGCTTTGCATTGGTTGAGTTTCTATCAATGGGATTGGGCTCTGGACCAGTTAGAATCTGGCAAGGGTTGTGCCTTGGGTACCGCCCACCCTTGAGGCTCTTTCCCAGAGCGGAACAATGCCATTTCTACCCTCATTTATGTGTCAATGACACATTTTAAAATATAATTACAGAAGATTATAGGAGAGCAGAATGGTAGAACCTTGGGAGGGGTCAGGCTCTTTGAGGGTGGGTTTCCCCTGTGAAGATGGCCCCAGCCCCACCTGGCCACCTCCAGAGACTGAGGCTCCTGCCTGGACTCTTGGGAGTGTTCCTCGCCCATGTGGAGGGCAGAAGCCCCAGGTGCATCCAGACAGAGGGCCTTCCTGGCCCAGTCCAGCAGCGCCCCTGCAAAAAGGGAGCTATAGTCCCTGTGGGCCCTGGACTGGTTTCAAGGGAGAGCTCCTTCCTTCTGTTTGCTGGACAAGTTTAAATCAGAGTGAAAAGCAGCACACTGACTCAGACCAAGGGCTGATGTGCTTCGCTGATAGGCTGATGTCTTGAAGGACAAACTGTAATTTGGAAAAACCCAACAGGAGAAGGTGATGCCTATGGGCAGGGCGGGGCCTTGGTGCCCACGCTGCCCCCACTCTCCTCTACGGTGGGCACTCTCCTCTACAGTGGGCACTCTCCTCTACAGTGGGCACTCTCCTCTACAGTGGTTTCCCTAATAACACCGTTGTTGAGCCAGGACAGAAATGGCCCTGAGGCTCAAAACTAAACATCCGCCTCTTCTGAACCCCAAGCTGGGCACTTACCTTTAAAGAAGATGTAATTCACCAGGACCATCATGGTCTGCTGGTCAAGGTTCTTGATCAGATCCCTGATTTTCCCTCGTGTTCCCTTCTGCACGTAGTCATTGATGAGCTTCTTAGCGGCCTCTGAGTCCTGAAAGTCAGTGGCAAAGGCCTCGGCGCCATACAGGCTCTTGGCATCCTCCGTGAACCTGTCCAGCAGATGGAGCTGCTCTTTGACAAACATGGCGTTTCCCATCCTGAGCTGCAGCTCATCACTGGACTGGTCAAGGGTGCTCCGGAGGTGCTGGAAGCTCTGGTGAATTTCTGCCTCAGAAGTCTCTGTGAGGCTGAACTTGAGGCCTTTGAGAAGCTCCATCAGGGTGGAATTGCGGGCCCCCAGAGACAGGAAGGCCAAGGCGGTGGAGATGCTCAGGGGGGAGAAGATGACATTCTTACCAGGGGCCTTCCGGGTCAACTGCTTGTACAGGCTGAAGGCGAAGTCCATGTTGTTGGAGGCCAATCGGAAGTCCACATGTGTCCCCTGGTCTTGGTCCTCCTGGTTCGGATTCTTCTTGTCAAGTGTGCTCTTAGGGTGGCAGAGGACAGCAGGGCAGAATCCAGCCACCAAGAGCCCCAGAGCCAGGAGAGATAACATTCTCCCCATTGTCAACTCTGCGAAGCAAAGATTCTTTAGGTCTCAGAACACCAGAGGGAGCCTTGACCACCTCCCCCTGCCCCCACTCGGCCTGTGTCCTGGTCCCTGTTCTGCCGCCTCTTGCTGGCTTTGCAGCCTGCCTGAGGTAGGGGCTCTCCTGGGCCCCGACAAGTCACTCTGTTTCCTGTCACCCATCGAGGTAAGTGCCATAATTATTTCCATTTTTTTCCAGTGGAAAGCCTGGGCACAAGGCAGTGGAGGGGTAGCCAAGGTCACAGAGCAAACAGGTGGAGGAGCCCAGAGGGCCGCCAGGTTTGCCTGGCTCCTCGGTCTGGAAGCTGATGGGGGTCCAAGGTTCAGTCCAATCAGAATGCCCACTCCTCTCCTCCCTCTTGGTGAGCAGATCCCATCCTAGGGCATTAGAAAGCAGGGGCTCCCTTCCCCTATTCCACAACTGGCACCAAAGAAGAACACAGGGATGAAGGAGCCCTGGCCAGAGTCAGAGGCCACAGTGACGCTCCCAGCCTCTCGGTGACACATGGTGCGGCCCCCGTGGGCCTCCAGGCTTGATGCTGGGTTGCAGTGAGGTTTGATTGAGAGAAGGAAATGAGGGCTCCTGGTCGTGTCTGGAGCCTAGATGGCCCTGATAATGGTCAGCATCAAGGCCAAAGTAAGGCGAATGTTCTTTTCCGCCCCTGCCAGGTCACCACGTGGTCTCTGTTTTCACCGTAAGCCTGGAAGGGCCTCCTAGTGGGGAGAAGGCAGCGTGGGCTTTGGGGTCTCCCAGAGTGAGACTGGGATTTTGTTTTGGCCACCTTTGATTGCTATGTAATGACAAGCAGGTGACTGAACCTCTCTGAACATGTTTCCATCTCTGCACAACACGCTAAGTGGCTCAGGTGAGATAAATGATGAATGAAGGCACCTGGCTCAGAATAGACGTTACCGAGGGCCACCACCTCCCATGCTGCCCCGTGCCTGAAACTGCAAGCCAGAGAAGAGGCTTGAGCAACTGCCCAAGAGACCCTGGAAGCACTGAGTTCCAGGCCGGTGACTGCAGCAAACAAGGTTATTTACTTTCAGCCTCTGCCCACTCAGTCCCAGAATTCAGAAGAGAAAAGGGGCAGCTTGGGTGCCGTGGGGAAGAGAGGGGAAAAGGGGGAGTGGAAGCAGGGGGAGGGGAGAGGGGTAGAGAGAGGAGCAGAGGAAGAGGGGAAGAATGAGGGGCAGGAAGGAAGGAAGGAAGGAGGGTGGGGAGGCCAGTGGAAATGCCTTCAGTCAAGCCCTGGGACAGAGACCGCTTGTTTGCTTCAACTGTTTACTCTCAGGCTGATGCAACCGTTTCTTTGGGAAAATGTTAGACAATATTTGCTTCCGGAATTATTTTGGGGGCAAAGCCTTGTGTTTTCTGCTTGGGCAAGTTGGAGCACTGGCTGTTTCCCAGCAGTTTGTGTCTTCAGTGTGTGGACAGAGGCACAGCCCATCTGTGGACTTGGCCAGGAGGCCTCGTGGGGAAGTGGAGCTCCCGAGGCAGCCCCATGGAGACCCTGAAATCACTGTGGGGCCTGCGGCCGCTGCTCACAGGAACCTGCTGCAGCAATCACATGTGCCACATGTTCTGAGAGCTGCACCCTGCGCCAGGCAAGGGGACAGCACCTCTTCCCCCGAGGGTCAGCTGCACAGTTGAAGATGCACAGCTGACTCGAATAGGAATCTGTAAGTATCAAGGCAGAAATGACCATAGAGGCCCCAGGGCACCTCCGCCCTTTACAGATGTGAAAATTCAGACCCAGAGAGGACGCCTCTTAAAAAGGCACGGGGAATCACAACAGTCCCCTGGCCCCAACCCAGTGCCCTGGGCACACCTCCTTCTGGCATCCACTCACCACACACTCCACACGCTCCAGGCTGCCACCTACAAGGCTTAGAAAAATGGATTCCTCCGCTCCCAGGATGAAAAGCATCATGGATTACCTGTCTCAGGGAGTTGGATAGAGCTTGTGATTCCAAAGCCGTCTGTCTGGAGTGGTTGATTCTCATGAATGCTAAGGCTTATTTATTCTAGCAAAGAACTCCTCCCCCTGCTTAGGAAACACTGGCCAGGACAACCAAGTGTTCTGTTTTCAGACTGGAAATGGCCAGATGATCATTTCTGGTAACATGGACTTGTTACATCCACTCAAATAACCTGGTGATGGGAATAGCTCTAATCTCTTCCTTAAAAGATAAAACAAACACACAAACAACACGTTGTCGTGTTAAGTTTTAATCTATTTATTAAATACTCATTGAAGAAGTTGGAAAATATCAGAAAATATAAAGAAGGACTTTGCTAAATATCCCCCAGCACTTTCCTACGAGGAGAAGGCCCCAGCTAACATCTGGTGTATTTCTTTTTATTTTTATTTTGAGATGGAGTCTTGCTCTGATGCCCAGGCTGGAGTGCAATGGCATGATCTTAGCTCACTGTAATCTCTGCCTCCTGGGTTCAAAAGATTCTCCTGCCTCTGTCTCCTGAGTTGCTGGGACTAAAGTGAGCACCACCAATCCTGCTAATTTTTGTATTTTTAGTAGAGATGGCGTTTCACCATGTTGGCCAGGGTGGTCTCAAACTCCTGACCTTGTGATCTACCTGCCTCCATAGCGCTGGCTGGGATTACAAGCATTAGCCGCCATGCCCAGCCACATTTTGGTATATTTCTAAGGCACTTTTCTTTGGGTCTCTGGTGTGTCTGTGTGATGTGAATGTCCATGTACCATCCTAAATATATTTGAAAAATATAGGACTCTATTTTTCTGCAGACAGTTTGCATTTTGGGCACCCGTTCTCACCAACCTCAGAGAGTAGAGCTGTCAGGGCCCCTCCATCCCAGATTTGTGCCTAGAGAGGGGATGGGAAGGGAGCTTTCGGGGAGCACAGGTGTTCTGAGGAACCCCTGGTCCTAGGCTCTGCTTCTCTGTGGGGCCTCCTCAGCCTTGGCCTGTGTCCCGCTGAGCCCCTGCCACTGGTTCTCGCCAACAACTGGTTGTCCCTCCTCCTTGGCCTTCAGGTCTCCTTGGGCCTCTCTCCTAGCTAGTCTGGCATCTTTCTTTAGCTCATCACGTCGAAAAAACAATCCTGGCTGGCAGTGGTGACTCATGCTGGTAATCCCAGCATCTTTGGAGGCTGAGACTGGCAGATCACCTGAGGTCAGGAGTTTATGATCATCTTGGCCAACATGGGAAAATGCCATCTCTACTAAAATCACACACAAAAAAGAAAATTAGCATCATTGCACACTCCTGTAATCCCAGCTCCTCGGGAGGCTGAGGCAGGAGAATCGCTTGAACTCAGAACGCCGGGGTTGCAGTGAGCCAAGATCAAGCCGCTGCACTCCAGCCTGGGTGACAGAGGGACACTCTTTCTCAAAATAAATAAATAATAATAATAATCCTTCCTCTTGATTCCTCGTGGTCACAGTCCCCATCCATGACAGACCCTGACAGGCTAGAGGGCGTGCTTTGGAGGCCACCAGACCCGTGGAGAGGTTCTGGATCTGACATGAACCGACCAGGCTTGAATCACAGATGTCTGACTCACGGACTGACTCACTTCAAACACATCATGGGAAATCTCTACAGCTTCATCTCCTAGTGTCTAACACGCAAGGTAATATTTCCTTGACAGAGTGGTAATCAAGATGAAATAAAATTATATTGTAGACACTACAAGCACAGAATTTTTAGTTTGTCTGTTGTGAGAGTGGACTGACATATCTGTTGACTGTACGGCACTAAGATGATCAAGAACTGTTTATCCCATCTTCCTTAAATGACTTTCAGGCTCCAAGTTTCAGAATTGTATACACACACACACACACACACACACACACACACACACACACACACACTGTATATATATATATATGTTTGTGTGTATACATATCTTTTTATCTCTCTCTATGTATATATATATACACACATGCCTACATGTGCACACATACACACACATATATATGTGAGAGGGAGAGAGAGAAGGGAGGTCCCACTTTGTCACCCAGGCTGGAATGTAGTGACACAATCATTGCTCATTGCTCACTGAAGACTCCGACTCCTGGACTCCAGGTATCTTGCCACCTCAGCCTTCTGATAGCCAGGACCACAGGCAGACTACACTATGACTGGTTAATTTTTCAATTTTTATTCTCTGTAGAGACAGGGTTTCTTTGTGTTGCCCAGGCTGGTCTTGAAATCCTGGCCTCAAGGGACCTTCCCACCTCAGCCTCCCAATGTGCTGGGATTATGGGTGTGAGCCCCTGTACCTGGCCAGTACCTATGTTTAAGTTACACAGAATCCTACAGAAATCGTGGCTGAAATGAGACTGAAGTTCAGTGCCCTCTTGCACAGGTCCAGGTGGAGGCAGTGGGTTGACGTGGCGGCTCCACGTTGTCAGAAACCACGTCCTCCTGCCTAGTTGCTTGGCTGCCCCTCCATGCCTGCTTTTCTGGGCTAAGAAGGCTCACTGCTATGTCCACCTTCCAGCCCATAGAAAGGGCCTCAGGGGAAGGGAAGGGCACACCTTCTTTGGAAAGGAATGCCTTAAACATCACCTGTCATTTCTGCTTGTGTTCTGTTGGCCGCAGGTTTGCTCCATGGCCACACCTAGCTACAGAGAAGGCTGTGCGGTGCAGTCAAGATGCTAGGGAGCCAGCTCCCAGCTAGGAATTCGGAGTTTCATTACCATGAGAGACAGAGAGAGTGGACATCAGGGATGACTGGTCATCCTGCCTCTGGACATTACCTGGGTGTTCTCAGGTTCTCCAGCCTCAGAAGAGCACCATTTTCTTTACAGCTGAGCTGACTTAGTCTTAACCTTCATCCAATGTGAAAGCAGAAAATGTCTGACCTTCTTCAGATCCTGCTGAGGATGCTTTTGGGGATCTGCATATGGTCAAAATGTTCTGGGTGCTGCTGATCACCTGGAGTTCCAGGCTGATGCTGCACGGCCACATGCACTCCATGACTGGCCATCTCCCAGCCTCCTTTCTGGTCTCTCACAAGTCTTCGTTGGTCTGCTTTGCCCAAGCATTGGCACAGACCCTTCCTTCGGTTCTGCAACTACCATTTGTTTAAGGATGGCAGATGTCACTGTGGACTCCCACGGCCGGATAGAACCACAGGGAAATTACGACAGAAAAGTGAATCAACGCTAAGCCCCAATCATACTTTTCCACAAGCACTGCTCTTCCTCTTTGGAGCAGCCCCTGTGAGTCAGATCCCCACCAGCCCGTGGGCTGCAGGATCGCTGGAGCCTGTTTGCTTCACGAGTCATCAATCCCTTGAGAATGTTCTCTCATCAGAATCCAGGGCACTCTTATTTTTGGAGCCCCATAGAAGGAAGCAAAGAAGAAATGAGGACGTTACTAGGGTCTGAGGAGATGCTCCTGCCTCTGAGGAAGAGAGCTGTGACATCCTTGCTGTACTGCAAGTGTGGTTCGGGGCCAGTAGCTGCAGCAGCACAGGGGAGCTTGTTAGAAATGCTAATTCCTGGGGCCCAGCCCAGGTTGACTCATTGAGAATTTTCAAACTAATAATAGCCCCAGATGATTTGTGTGCACCAGAAAGCCTCAGAAGCACTGCCTCTTAAGCTAAGCCAAAGAGCAACCTCTGTGGCAGGTTTTTGCCTTTGGATTTCCTCTCTGTCTCCAGCTCCCTGGGTTGGGATCTGCCCTGCCTCTGCATAATGTGGCTTCAAGCCAGGCTTTCCCGGAACCCACTGAGGGCCTTGTCCAAGGGCAGAATCCAGCATCCCCTCCAGGACAAGAACAAGTGCAGAGGACTTTAAAATAGTATGTAGGTCAGGCATAGTGGTTTATGCCTGTAATCCCAGCACTCTAGGAGCCCAAGGGGGGTGGATCACCTGAGGTCAGGGGTTCGAGGTCAGGGGTTCAAGATCAGCCTAGCCAACATGGCGAAACCCTGTCTCTAATAAAAATACAAAAAAATTAGCCAGGCATGATGGCAAATGCCTGGAGTCCCAGCTACTTGGGAGACTGAGGCAGAAGAATCTCTTGAACTCAGGAGGCAGAGGTTGCAGTGAGCTGAGATAGCACCACTGCACTCCAAGCTGGGCAACAGAGCCAGACTCCATCTCAAAATAAATAAATAAATGAATTATGTATTTGTATTGCACTATATGTGGACTTTGTAGGTTATCAAGTGCTTTTCTATACACTGCATTCATTTGTTTTTTTCCTTTATTCCACAGATATTTACAGAATGATTTTATGTGCCAGGCATAATCCTAGGCACTGGGCATCCAGCAAAAAACAAAACAAATAATGCTCCCACTCTGAGCGGGGTCACTGTCTCTGCAGTTTTGGGACAGTGGCCTCAATGGAAGGGAGCAGGGCCTACATTCCTGGGGTCTGCCAACTTTTCTGTAATAGGCCAAACAGGAAGTGCTCTAGACTTTGATGGACTCGTATGGTCTCTGTCTCCTCTTCTCCCCGTCTCTACTAAAAACACAAAAATTAGCCAGGTGTGGTGGTGCATCTGTAGTCCCAGATACTCAGGGTGTTGAGGCAAAAGAATGGCCTGAACCCGGCAGGCAGAGGTTGCAGTGAAGGGAGGGGTGGGAGGCGCCTCATGGTACAGAGAGGAGTACAGGGCTGTGCTCATATCAGCCCAGGGACCTTAGGCAAGTGGCTTTGCCTCTCAGGACCTTGGCTTCCACTCTGTGGGATGCTGCTAAGATTCCCAGATCACAAGGTTACAGAAATTGAAAGCAATCATGCAGGGAGCACACTCAGCCCAGGACCTGGCGCAGAGCCGCAGGAGTGGCAGCGGACTTGGGGCCTCCCTTCCAGTCTGACTCAGCAGGCCTGCATGGAGCCTGGAATCCATTTGCCAAGGGTCCGAGCTGGTCCTCGGCCCCACTTAGGGAGCATTTTAAAAGGTAAATCAGGTGTTTTCACTTCTTGCTGGAGGCTTACAATGGCCCTATAGCAACTAAGAGAAATTCA